CCCGCCACTATCTACCTAGTCCGCTTGACGCCCGCTTCGCCACTCCCTGGAGCATCGTACCACGCCCCTTGTCTGTCACCATTACGCTTATACAACCGCCGACACATTTCTACACGATGAAGCGACGACGTTCTGAAGAACACGACGAACCCGAGCCACCCGCCGCTCAATCCAGTCCTTCGCGCGAGTCCGCGCACTCATACGAGGGAAATATCGCCGATACAGAGACCGATACCCAAGGCGATCATCCCCATGTCAGCTCTAGCAGGCGCTCACCTGCAGCCATACCGTCGGCAGGCGAGTCCTCTCAGGCCGACGCGCCCCCGCCGGCGAAGAAGAAACGTACACGCACTCTCACGACGCCTCATCAATCAGCGGTTCTTCACGCTCTCCTCGCTCAGGTAGGCCCTATTGCTCGCGCGTTTCATCGCCCGGACTACGTTAACCTAACATCATCGGCGTTTAGTCCCGCTTCCCGACAACGGCTATGCGCGAGGAGGTCGGTCGCGCCATCGGTCTAAGTGCTCGTAAGGTCCAGGTGTGTACAAGTACTTCCCCATGTCGTATACCTCCTGACGCACATTGTCCAGGTTTGGTTCCAGGCAAGTCTCGCTTCTTTGCGCCTTGTACGCGGGCCCGTCTGACCAGAAACTCCAATACAGAACCAGCGTCAGAAGGCTCGCCGCCCGCGTAACCAAGCGGGTCAGGCCGCCGAGCAAGCTTCTACAGGCGCCATACCTTTGACGAGCCTCCCGGGCCCTTCGCATCTCGCGCAGCAGCCATCGACGTCATCCACCGCGTTCGCCGGTTCCTCGTCTTACGGTGCCACTACCTACGGACAGCCCTCCGCCAGTGTCAGCGTCAGCCGGGCACTCTACGAGGCCGAACTAGCACTGCGCAACTCCGCTGCCGCGGCGCCACCCGCTAGCCTTGCGGGGCCTGGTGTACCCGGACCGAGCACGTCTCTCGCGACACCTCTCACCTCTGTACCACCACCCTCATTACCTCGCCTTCAAGCACCACCGAGCCCGGTATCATACGGCTACGCTGGTCGCGAATTTACGGCACCCTTACCTCCACCCCATCGCTATTCATCGCCGGAGCCATACGGACGCCTCCCTGGACCCTATGAAAGCAGACGCGCTTCGCCGGAGGCGCGGGTTCATGCCCCTCGCGACATGTCACTCAGCTTGCCACCTCTAACTCTTGATGAATCGCGCTATCCTCGAGGAGTGTCGCCTGGCTCGCGTCTGCCACCCCTCGACACGAGGCCGTACTCGCATACCGCGCCCCGCCGCTGGACCGAAAGTGACTCGATTCTCGAGTCGCCGCTTGCTTACACCGGTAGCTCGTCTTTGCGGCGGTCACACTCGCGTTCTCCACCTTACCCTCTACCGGGATATACCTCGATCGAGCGCCCTATACTCCCTCCGCTTCGCCTCCCTTCTCCGTCGTCGCACCCGCATCACCCCCTCTCGGCCACGTCTGTGTCTTCCGCCACACACCCTCCTCGCGGTGAAGACCTGGCGCCATCGCCCATATCCCTCCGCGAACCCCGTGGAACGATCTCCTCACCAACTATATCGCGCACGACGCGTTTCGATCCCGTCCGCGCCGCCATCAGCGACAAAGAATCCCAGAGCCGCGCGACCACTACCTCCCCTCAACGCCCTGGCAAAGAAGCGGGCACGCCGCCGTACGCCTCACCGCCCGCATAATTCGCTCGGATATCTTGGAGCTCCCCGCGTTGCGGTGACTGTACATACGCATACTCACGCATCTCACGAACAGTCGGCGCACGAACTACGATACGACTGCCACAATCATTCCCAAGGACGCTATCTTACAAGACACTTTATTGCCCACCTTCACTTCTCCCGCCCGCGCACGGACTTGTTTTCATCCTCATTCGTCTTTCCGAACAACCTACGGTACAGTCTACCTACCTTTGACATTTTGGTACTCCTCTGCCTGTGAACCGACATCCTACTACGGTACTAATTGCTCCACTTCCTACAAGGAGTTAATCCCGTCCTAATACTCCCCCGTCCCTGTGTCTCTCTACCCACTCGTTAGCAGCGCTCTCGCTGCCCCGTCTTGCGAACATCTGTCCCCCTCACCTGTACTCTCTCTTGTGTTGTTGTTGTTGTCGTCGAACCATAGTCGACGAACGCGAACTCGAAGTCACTGCCTAATTACTGTAGCCAATAATAACAAGCTTGTTTCCTCCATATGCGTCGGATGGTACGATCTCCCTCTCAAGGCTATGAAACGCTGGAATGAAAGCTCCGAGGGCGGAAGGTATTCCACAGGGCGTAAGGCACTTCTGGGAGGCTGAAAGCTTGTTCATGGAGCCGAAAGCGCTCACAAGAAGATCTTCGAGAGCAAGATTTCTGACCACAACGTGAGCTCCCAGGGGCATGTCAAAACCCTGTGCCATTACAGAATAACGACCGATGTTCGCGGGCACATCTGCAAGAATGTCTATAAGGCCACACGGACAATAACTCCGTGTAAAATTCACTGAGTCGCCGGATCTCTTGAGAAGCATAGAATTACCGCACTGCGTGCGCGCTCCTAGTCCTTAAACACCGAGATGTACACGATAGAGCGATCACCAGATCTCCGTTCCTCGCCATCTATACGCGGCTTCGCAGCGCGGCACGCAGCATCTCCTCGCGCGCGTTGGCCTCAGCCCGCATGCGCTCTGCGGCAAGACGCACTCGCATACGCGCCCTTGCCTCGGCGCGGGTCGGGTCGTCCTCCACCGCCACCTGCGCATTATTATCCGACGCCGGCCCTGGATACGACGGAGTTGAGCCTTGTGTGAACGTCAGAGCCGGAAGAGGCGCCGGAGTCGAAGCGCCAGGAGATATCTCTGCTTCTTGCGGGGCTGGCATGGTGACCGCACGTAGTGCACGCGCACTGCCCCCATTTGCACGCCGCTCGGCCTCGAGCTTCTCCAAGAGAAGCATGCGCCGCGCTTCGTTTGTCCTCGATGCGCTGCCACTGCCGCGCGCGGCGTCTAGGGGTAGGCGGCCGCCGTGCGCCGCACCCTCAGCAGGGGCGCTTTGAGCTGCTCCCAACACGTCATGACCTCGTGTTGCGGCGCCCAGTTCGACGTTCGCAGCATCCTTGGGAGGTTCGTAAGGCACATCTGAGAGTCGGGCAAGGAGAGTGGGTGGATCGTCCAACTCAGACGCCAACTCTGTATTGGGAGCCTCCGCTGCTGTGACAGACGAAGTCGTGCCCGCCGCGTTGCCGAGATGACTGTGTGCCGAGGAGACTTGGGTTTGTTCGCGCGAAGAGCGCTGCAATCTCTCAGCGGCACCTTTGATGGAGAGTGTAAGGACAGGTCGTGAGGGAACTGATTGGGTTCCGCGCGCGGGAAGGGATCGCGGGGACCCGCGGAAGTCTATTAGATCAACCTCGGCTGTAGCGGAGCGCAGAGCGGGAGTATCTGATGTCCTCGGGCTAGAAGGTTCATACGTCCGGCTTGGGCTGAGGGTGTGCAGCCGTGACGAGGGCGTGTACGGCGTTCTGGGGCTCTCAACGGGGATTTGAGCTGTTGGGCGAGCATTCGGTGGTAGAGTACGAGATGTGCGCTTTTGCTCGGAACGTGAATGTACGCGGGCGTTAGGGCTCGTGCGTACGTGTTCTTTACCCTTGCCCTTGTCGCGGCGACCATCATTCTTGTACGGCCGATGAGCCTGGCGAAGGGGCGGTGAAGGAGGTGCTGATGCTCGACGCGGAGGTACGCTGTCCTCGCGCCATAGATCCCGAGGAGACTCATCCGGGGATCGGTTGCGGCTTGGTGAACGGCGGCCCGAACGTTGAGTCGCAAGTACCGGAGGTGGTGAATGTGCCTCTATGGGAGACGGTAGATGCTCGTCATGCTCATCTAATCCCCATCTACGACCAACTTCATGTGCGGATGGGCCAGGCAAACCTTCGGGTATGTCATACTAGACATAATCAGTCCCGAGTACTCATGTTGTAGAGACTTCGAGACGTACCTGCACCGATTCGTCGTAACGCGCTAGCTCCTTGAAAGGCGAGCGCATAAATGAGTATATCTCTGTGATGCGTCAGGCAATGATCAAACCATATAGTGAGTATGCTCACCATGCGTGAAATGCTCGGCATTGACATATCGTCCGCCCGGCGAATATGGCTTGTCCATGTCAAGGAACTCGGCAATGAGCTTGACGGCACTCTCGGCTCGAATGTCGATCGACTTCATGAGGGAGAGCACGAATGTCACTAAGAACTACGCCGGCATCAGTGAAATGTTAGGGGGTTGCACCGACAAGGGCTACCTCGACGTCCAAGTTTGGCCAGACTTGCAGCTCGCGTCGAAGAAAGATCGTCGCCTTGCTAATCATGTCGGGTGAAGCAGAGAACTGCGAGGGCGTCGGGTACGGCCGATAGCGCGTGTGCATATTCGATGCGACATGCTTCGAGGTCACTATTGCTCCATATCACCATGAGAATACGGTGATGATGTATCCTAACACACCTTGGCGTACAAGTTATGGGTGTAAACCCATCGCCTTCGAGCAACCGCCTGCGCAAGGGCGTCTGCCTCCTCCAAATCCGCAGACGCAGCACCTCGTCGTCCCCAGACACGGTCGCGACGTGGTATACGCGCTCGTCGCACGCCGCTGCGATTCGCTTGTGCTTGGGGACGCGGAGATGTTGGAAGCGCAGGCAGATAGTGCTTGGAATAATCATTGTTGGAGCGTATGTGGTGTATCACGTATTCGCCAATACTTTGCGCGCAAAGAGGACATTTCCGCGACTGACCTATAACCATTTAGCTAGGTGCCGGTCAATCGGAGAATTCGCACAACGTACCAGTCCACACCATTAAGCATTCAAAGCAGAACTCGTGAGAGCAAATGGGTATGACAGTACGGTCGACGAATGCTTGCAAGCAGATAGTGCAATGATCCTCCTCAGGTTCTACGTCGTATGCGTCCACGTCTATGACCATCTCATCCTCCTCGATCTTGACGGGTATTCGACCCTCGTTGACATCATGTTCGAGCTTCGCGCGTTTGGAGTTACTTTCGACAGGACTGATGGGTGAAGACATGCAATAGCTGTAGTAAAAAAGAGTATAGAGGTGCAATCGAGATGGTCAGGATAATCTAGGGTGAAGGGTGGTGGTGGAAGCAGTCGAGGGCCACGCGCGCCGCGGTCCGCGCGGACGACGTTCACTTCGGGACCGAACCACTTCTTCCCCCTACCATCATGTCCGCAGATTCAGAGGATCACCACCTCGACTCTCTCAGTCGTCTGACTCTTGAAAACTCCTCGCAAGAGTCACTCTTCTCATCAGATAGGCTTGGAAGCGCATCCCACATCAATCGACTGCCCGTAGAGCTGCTTTGCCGCGCTTTCTGCTGGTTGCCACACTTCGACGCAGAAGAGATCGGGGTGACGCTCAATGCCCGCACGCCTCCGTGGGTACCCGTTATCCACGTCTGCTCCTCATGGCGCAGTGCTGGCATGCGATGCAAAGAGCTTTGGTCGTGGATTCCGCTGGGCCATCCTGAATGGACCAAGGTCGCTCTGCGCCTTTCTGATCCTGTACCGATCGCTGTCCGTATACCAGGGGAAGAGATATTCTTCGCGCGCTTTGAAGAGGACGTGTCTCCCGCTCATAAGCTTATGAAGGACGCGTTCGATACCATGGCTGATCACTGGTCGCGAGTGTGGCACCTCGATCTGAGAATGGCTCGCCCCGAATCGGCATATGAGGAAGATGGCGAGCTGCATACAGCTTATATTCGCGCTCGCCAGATGCTTTCTCCTTTGCGCGAGGCTCGCATGGACAAGCTCATCAGCGTCTACTGCGCGCGCGTTGACCTCCGCCTCGAATCTCTCTTCGATGAGAGTTGGTTGGCTCACGTACGGCACTTGAAGTTTACCGCTGCTTATATCCACGATGGTCTCCGTTTCTCACATCTACCGCTTGTTAGCCTGTCCATCAATCTTGCCTTGCATTATGTGTCTTTTTCTGAGTGGCTGTTGATGTTTGAACACCTAGACTCTTTGGAGATACTACGTATCTGGGATGGATTGAAGCAATCCCGAGTGAACGAAATATTCGGCGAGCTGCCGTTCCGTCGTGTACTGTTTCCCCGCCTCAAAGAACTGTCTCTCATGAGATCACCGCCCCTCATGGGCCTCTACTTACGATGCTTCGATATACCGTTGACGGCTCAGTTGGACGTTAGCTGGTGGGCCACCGATTTCGACGTCCCGCGAACGTTCATACCAGAGTTGCTCGTCGTTTCAGAATGGCCTGCAATGGATGATTGGGGTGACAACGCCAACACTCTCGGTCATAGATTGTACCGACTGAGTATACATCTGTGCAGAACCTTGTTGAATCACGTTCACAAGGTGGTCACCGACGCCCAACATCCCACCCCTTTCGACCCCAGTGCTTTCACGCTTCCGCACACCTTTGAAAGTGATCAGGATAATGGTGGATTGACGATGAATGGCCTTGTTTGGGCTCCGAAGTCGTCGACATTGGTGTGTATGTGGGCCAGAGGCAATCAGCCGCTGTATCAAGACATGTTTGGGGTGATAGGCTCCATGGAAACCTATATGGAATGGATCTGGCTCATCGATACAATGAGAAGCGCTGATGATCTGGCTGACTATGCAAGGAGGCACCCGGTGCCTGCAGCCCTGTCCTGTAGATTCGAAGATGATGCATATAAGCGCGCCGGGCTGGCGACCTTGACACTGGTTGCCTTACAACACGTTGACTTCACGAACCCCTTGCTACAGCCTTATTTCATGGCCCTATCGGGTCTTCTACTTGTGAAGGACCAAGACCTGATCACGGTCCGATATGATATCGTGATCCTGTTCCCCTTTGGACTGAAGTTGACGGAAGCGCAGAGGACGTACATCCTGCAGTTTAGGGTCAGGATGTCTGACCATATCGAGGGCTATCCATATGTGGAGTTTGAGGATACCGACGCGTACGCTTAGTGTTTGTAGAGTTGGTGTAGGCGCGAGATAATTATTAAAGCCATGTACGTAGTAACGATCCATTGAATCTATTGATATCCTCCCAATGAATCATCGAGTGCTTTCTACTTAGCTTCCATTGTGCTTAGTGCCCATTTGAGTCACGGCTTCTCATACACAGATTCAGATCCGCAAGTTCTTGAACCGCCTATCAGTTACTCACTTCGATCATCTTACATACCAGGATCTGTCGCAAGGAGTTGATCTTCGGCTTCAGGAAGCAGTTACATGTCCTCGTTGAGAGTTGACTTGCAAATCGAGTACAAGGCCTGCATCTGCCCTAATCGTGCACAGCAGGATCAGGCTCGATGGCGGTTTGCCTTGTACGACTGCCATCCTGACCAGGCTCTGACCGTGAATATGTCCCTTGTCCACTTTCAGATCCAGTGCGCCAACTTATCTCACGAGATCTTGACTTCTACAACGCCTATCCACCCACAGAGCCTGAGTCCAGGCCAATCTGCATGCCAGCATCGCTCGTGTACGAGTGTCCCCGTTCAGCCTCGTTTCGCCACTCAGATACCAACAACGCTTTCTCGCGATGCAGGCTATTTGACAGCTCACAGCGTCCAAGTCAAGACTCATTGTTGCATAGAGAAGTCGAAGGCCTTGCTTCTTCCGAGGTCGACTACCGAGTCGGGTACAAGGCGTGCTTGACCGGCCAACAGAGACGCACCGAGTCAGCGGCGGTCGTCCACGCACAGCTGTAGACTTGTGAGAGTCCTATACGCGTAAAGTGACTTTGACCCTAACCTCGACTCTCACCGGGCCCTACACCCCTTGCTCACCTCAATTCTCGCCAATCCCACCAGATCTTGACGTCTACAACGCCTATCAAGCAACAGAGGTCCATACCAGCTTCGCCTGTCAACGTCGCTCAGGTGGCGAGTGTCCTTCATCTTCAACAGCATGCGCATACAGCATGTAGAAAGGTTATATGACAGCTCTGAATCATCATCATGTTCCACAGCATGCGGCCCACATCAATCAACGTCGCTACAGTAATGAGTCAATGTTGCTGAAGAGGGACGGAGGCTTCTTCCGAGTCGAGCACAATGCAACATCGCCGTCATGAGTAAGTACCACATTTCATACGTAGCGACCAGACGACCGCGAGCGCGGCTGTCAAAGGCAGATCCGGTCGGATTCCGTGTATCTGACAGGCAGATGTGGCCGGGACGCCCGCGAATTTGATGAGCTCGAGTCGCTGTGTGGCCCAGCGCCCTGCGGCGAGCCAGTGAGCTCGGGAGTCTGAACTCTACCGTTCCGCTCTTGTGCGCGGTATGTATAGTTGTATTGCATGTGAAAGAGTACAAAGCGAGAGAGGGTCTAGACGCGGTCTGTTCTCATGGTCGCTTCTGTTGATGCGACGGGGTAACGAGTTGAACACAGCCGTTTGAGTTCGAGTCCCGACGGAGGATCAACGTCGCGTACACCGTTAACGGTCCTCCGAGCTACAGCAGGAGAGTCAGCGCCGGCGGCGCGACATGCCAGCGCGGGAGTTGTAGCCTGAGATGCGAATGTGATGAATGGGAACGTTGTACCCAAACTACCCAGTCTTCGCCTCACCATTCAACACACGCAACGCCACACGCATAACAAAAGAAAAAGCTCAAGATACGCGGTATACAGTACACGAAAATAAAACACAAGAATCACTCTTCATCGAAATAAAGTGGCATCTGAATCGGAGCGGGGTATACGCGCCCCGTAGGGCAGGCTGGGGGTGGTATGCGCGGGGTGGGTAGGGTTGAACAAGGTAAGCGGGTAAGTAGGCTCGAACACAGATCCGGGGCGGGGGTCAGAGGTTAGGGGGTCAGTGCGGGTCAGTCAAGACTCAAGACGTGGAGGGTAAGAGGAAGGGGAGGAAGAGGCGCGCGGCGCGAGTTGGGCGACGACCAGCGGCGGAAAGGGGATCTGGCAAGCCAGCAGGGGAGAGGGTGAGTAAAGAGCTACGGCAAGGACTACTCGAACATGGGTATGAACACGAATCGCGGTTGCGACGGGTAGGGCCCATTAGGTGGGAGAGGGAGGGTAAGAGCGAGGAATGAGCCCAGGTGAGACGGCAGTAAGGAGGGAGAGGGTCAAGGAAGACTCCGGAGCAGGGTGGGGTACAGTACAAGAACATAACCGGGGGACGGACAACCAAGAGCCGAGAACAGAGACGCATAACTAAGGGAACCAGGCAGGAGAGAGAGTAATCATCACAGCGTCATCCTTCATCCTACTCCTCCCCATGAAGGAGAGTAGATTGGGACTTCAGGGCTTAGGCTTAGATCCCGCCGTAAACGTCCTCGCCCGTATAATGACTATACCGGCTCCCCTCGGTCGGCGCCATACTCTTCCTCGACGGATCATCCATCGCACCCGCAGGCGTAGAAGGGTACAGCCCCGTATACGTCGGCATCGGCTGCGTAACGCCCGCCGCAGCCGGCGGCGGGCTGGCGACACGGCGCCCAGCATACGCCCTCAACATGTCGTCGGGGTTCATGCTGGCAGACGCCATCGGCATAAAGCTGCTCATGCTGCTCGCGCCGGTGCTGGCGCTCGTGGGCGGGACAGCCGGCGGGCTGACGGGCGCGCCGAACTGGGTTACGTGTGATGGGGCGCTCGGGTAGGACGGGAAGAGCTCCTCGCCGTCGGACGTGCGCATCATGCGGAGCGCGGGCATCACCTCGTCCATGCTGGGCCGCACGGGCGCGTTCTCGTTGCCCGCGTTGATCCGCGCGCGGATGTCCTCCGCGCTGAGCGGCACCGCGCCCTGCGTCTGCGTGGGGCTCATACTGCCCGACCCCGTGGTATCAGACCCATTCGCGCTGTCGTTGCGCGTGGGCAGCGGCGGGACGATGGCGGTGTGGTACGCGCGGCTCGCGACGCTCTTGCGCGAGACGCTGTCCATGCTCGGGCGCGTATCGGGGGCGAAGCTCACGCGGCTGACGCGTTCGGCTAGGATAGCCGACGTCTGCGCCGGGTTGCGCAGGCCCGTCCCAACGGTGCGCGCACTGCCGACCTGGCGCATCTCGTCCTGGCTCTGGCTCTGAATCGCCTGTGTCCCGCCAATCCCGATCCCGCCCAGCCCGCGCGCGCCGATCCCAGCCTGTCCGCCGTCGACCATAGCCGAAGCCGTGCTCATAGGCCTAACGCCGCCATACGAGAACGAGCTCATGCGGTTCCCGTTGCCGTCGACGGCCATACTGTTGCGCACGGCCGCGGCCGCGCCGGCGGGCGTGATGCTCGCCCAGTCCGGGTTGATGGTGCTCATGCGCGAGTCGACGGCCACCGAGAAGCGGCGGCGTTTCTCCTTCTCGACGCCGCGCTTGATGCGGATGTACGCGAAGGCGACTAGGGCGCCGATGGCGAGCAATGGTAAGATGACGGCGGCGGCTGTGGCGCCTTTGGAGAGGCCGTGGGAGGCGGAGGATGTCGAGGGCCCGTTGTTGACTTGGGTGTAGGCGGACGTGTCCGTGCTGCTCGACGACGAGTCGGACGAAGCCGAGACCGACGCGTTGAACACCGGCCCGGCGGGTAAGTTCGACTGGAAGGGCTGTGTGCCGGTGGCGAGGATGTTGAGGTAGAGCTGGGCGGAGCTCGTGGAGTTCCACCAGGCGGGCGAGAGCGTGGTCTCGTAGGTGCCGTATTTGTTGTACACTTTGCCCCAGGTGTGGATGTTGGAGGAGGCGGCGGAGGGGTCGTAGAGGAGGATGTCGACGTAGTCCGACGAGATGCAGGTGCTGTCCCATGTGATGTTGAACGACGAGGACGTGTCGATCACTTGGTTCGCTGTGGGCGAGATGTAGAAGCCTCCAGTGAGACAGGCTATATCCCTCGTTCATTGTCCATCCTCTCTGATAACAACACAATGGTCAACGTACAGTCTGCGCGGGGCACGACGGCCTTCTTGTCATGGTGCCCAAAAGCAGCACCAAGCCCAAGACGATATTTGCGGTCTTGTTTAACCATTTCTTATATTCTTTTCAATAAGCGAGAACAGATGCTCAGTCGACGGGCAGGTCCGAGTCAATGTCAAAAAAGGAATGTGTGCCGCAGAGGCGCGCGGCAGAGCGAGAGACAAGGGAAAGGAAGGGAAGGACGAGGCGAACGCTGTCGACGGCGATGGGAAGAGTCAATACGCGGCGGGCGGCGCGGGCGGGCGACGAGCTCAGCGCCCGCGTGTGAATTCGGTCACCAGGGCCGGATTTAGTTCATCAGTCCGGCTGGGATGCGCCTTGGCGTTGTCCGGGATGTTGATCCCGTACTATTTGCTCGCTGTCATATGCGGCTCTCTTGCTACAACCTGACAACAGAGCGTTAACGTTGTACGCGACGTCAATCCTCCGTCGGGAGCAGCACGCTGTCTCGAACTCAAACAGCCGTGTTCGAGTTGTTACCTACCCCGCATCAACAGAACAGACCATGAGAACCGACCGCGTCTAGACCCTCCCTTGCTTTGTCCTCTTTCACATGCATACAGCTTGCATTCTCTGCGCGCAAGAGCACATCGAGTGTGGAGTTCAGACTCCCGGTAATAGACATACATCCGGATACGGCGACACGGATGAACGATGCAGATAAGTCAGAGAATTATTCATCGGGTCAGTCAGTAGTACTCGGTGTACGGATACTCTGTGTCAACATCGGACATCCTGATGTTGAATGCCTGTAAGCTTTCCCGCTGCTCGTCGTCCAACTCCAGCCCGAACGGGAATAGGACGTGTACGGTGCACGGCATCGTCCTAGGCTCATCCGGCGATCGCGGCTCAGGCCTAAGTAATCGTTTGATTACAGGGAAGTACGTCTTCATGTAGGGTGTTGTCTGGTCGATACGATCCAGTGCGATGAGCGTCAGAAATGGCTGGTCAGCATCGACCGGACGTGGACTGGGAGATCCTGCACCAGGGAATGTGAATGCGGCGGGGGCCGTATAAGACGCAGCGTAAGCGTCGTGTTCACCCCGTCTTCTCATCGAATTGAAAGCCGCGGTCCATCCTCTCCCTGGTCCTTTACCGACGCTGGTGCTCACGCCAAATACAGATCGATGCACGTATCGAGTCCCGTCTGATCCACCGTGCGAGAGCCTGATGGCAGAGTTCTCCGGCTCCCACTGGATGTAGTTTATGGTGATGGGCAACCAGTCGTCCTCCTCCTGTGTCAGGGGATGAAATTTGAACGACGAAGGATCGAAGTGTTTTGAACCAACTGCATCTGCCGCAATGACCCGATGGATCTGGTGCGCAACGGCCAAACAGAGCTGTGCGAGCCATGTCATGCGCTGGTCCATCGTTGGCTCGAAGCCAAATGTCTCCACCAGAGGCCACATCTTGAATATATGCAACTGATCAGGTAGTTGGGCAGCGCCCGGGGCTTGGTAGTAGTGCGCCCACCACGAGGCGAGCACAGTAGTCCTGCTCTGTAAGGCGAATTGAGGCAGGTATGCACTGATCAGGAGAGGCGAGCCGGACAGAGTCAACGTTTCCAAAGACGGCAGGTCGACCGTAGGCAAGCTCGACCTTGTTGGCTCGGAGTCGGGTCCAAAGAGTTCATGATAGCGAGAAGAATTGATATGATCCTCGATGTCAAGGCGTGTCAACTCCTTGCATGAATTGACGACGGTTAAAAATTCCTCGAAAGAGCCGCGAAAGTCTGGCATGATTATCTCCAGGTTGGTAAGGGGCAGCGATAGGAAGGTGAGGTTCTTGGTGAACCGTACCCACATCATCTGAACGCAGCACACGCTGCGAGGCCACTCTATCCCGAGGAAGGATCCGTCGGTAAGGTCGCCGCCCTTACAGTAAAGGTCGCGCAGTCGGTCCATGCGCGCATTACGCAGCGGCGCAAAAAATGCGCGTGCGCGCAAGTAGAAAGTATGGAAGGGCCCCCCATCTTCTCGGGATTCTTCGTGTGGGATCAAGCTCAGTTCAAAGACACTAGCGCGCGACAAGTGGGGAAACGTAAGAGCCACCGCTTGTCTCACGACGTGGTCCTTTGTGGGTGCGGGGTGATCGGAGTCCATGTATAAACGTGGGCCGTCGGGCATGTAGAGAGCGATATCGACTGGGTCAGAGAGCTGAAGAGCCATCTCGGTCCACTTTGGATTCCCAAGGGGAATGATGGACCAGAGAGCTTTGCACTCTAAAGCAGCAGCGCGCCACGACGAACAAACGTGGAGGACCGGCGTCCATGGTGGGGTACGCGCATGTAGCGTTATACCGGCCTCTGGGTCTTCGAGATGGCGCATCCAGCAGAATATACGGCAAAGGAGTTCGAGAGGCAGTGCATCTATGTAAATCGGCAAGGATCGGTTTTGGATGGGGGCACCGGTGGAAGCCTGCACCGTCGAGATGTCGCGCGGAACTCGACAGGCTTCGTTATCGCTATTCGCAGGCATTGAAAAGACAATAAGCAGTATATTTCCAGAGAGTGTAGTATTCAGTGGACTGATCTCAACGGTGTCAAGACGTGCTGGCTGCTGCAAGGCTGCTGAACGTCGCTGCAAGAGACAAACGACGAAACGGGTCTGCGACACGGAATCCGGATTTCGGGCCGATGCTCCCCGCAGCGTTTCCTCGTTTGCTTCCTCGTCGCACCTTCCTCTAGCTTTGATTGTCACGGTCATGAGCTCGCCTTACGCAGCGATACTACGCCGCTCGTCAGCCTTGTCGTACGATGGCTTGGTGGGACCGTCTATGTGCTCGCCGCCCTATTGTCCGCGGCGCTTAGGTCTACGCACCCTTCACACGTGGCAGAACCAATGCGCAACAATGCACAACACCTAGGTGTCATCCATCAGTTAGCATCTGATCGGTCGGTCCTATTATTTGTTCGGCCGATTGGTCGCCTAGGATTGCGCTCCCCAGCTATTTACCTTTGCCTTGTCCCTCGCTAGGGGTAGGGTTCGGTGATGGCGGAGGCGGGAGCGGGCGAAGACAGAGGGTGCCGATAGATGACGCGTGCGCCTTCCGCTTTTGGCCAAAGGCGCGACGCGGCACCGTCGGCGCGGCTTCCCGAGCGCGCCCGCCGCGGCGCGTGTCGCCTCACACGTCGAGCTCGCCGTTCACTCGTAGCTCCCCATGTACTCGCACTCCGTTGGTGGGACCAGCACCCACCGCGCAGTCTCTGCAAGGGCCAGACAGGCTGCAGTGCCGATAGCTGGAAATATATAGTAGTAACTGTAGTGTATGGGAGGAGGCTAGCTTCGAGCTGTGTACTCTACAGCGGCCTAGACGGGTATATACAGAGAGCCAGTATGCTCCCGAAGATGTACAGAGTCTCAAATGTGGGTGAGAGTAGACATTGCGTCGAGGTCCGCCTCTACGAGTGTGAGCCTCGAGGCGTGATTCACAGGCGGACGTGACGTAATGCCGCAGGGTGCTTTGTTCGAGCCTGAAGGTACTGCAATTCGCCTTCAGGTCTCCAAAGTACTCCAGATAGGCTGATAACCGGCCTATCGGGACTTTACTGATATCCCAGCGTCGGACAGGGGAGGACTACTGGCAAGAACGCCGGTCAGTGACCGGCCGCCGGCGGGACTTCGATCACGGCCAACGGCAATCACCGAGCCTCCGCTTCGGTGCGTGGCCAAAGCCAGCGTCACAACTCCTACGCTCAATAGCTCTACGACAGGCTGTCCCATGGCCCTGAGATGAAGAGAAAGTATTGGAATGCCTCCCCCTCATGGCTCTAGGCCAAAACTGTGGCTGTGGAGCAGGCCCGTGCTCTCAGATGCCTCAATACGCCGCCGGAGGTCGACACGACCCTTGGATCGCATGGGCGCGACAACGTCTTCGCAACAACTTCTGCCTCCTGCCACAACCATACGCCATAAAATCGTCAATTAAATTGCACTTGCATATTGAAGTACTGCCTCACACCCCTCTAATTTTTATACACGAATATACGATTGTCACACATCACCAGGAGCAGACTTTGTGTAGACCAGACGAGGGCAGAGATCCACGTTTTCTGGCATCTTGTACCCCGAGCGCTCGGAGTATGAGTAGCTATAGTTCAAGAGAAATACATTTATGAGCATTCTGTCAGCTCAAATGGAGAGCGCTCTCTCTATCGAGCCTACGCAGTCCGATCGCGAAGCCTCATGCTGGTCAGATCATGAAACCCACTGAGGGGTCGCTGTCCTCTACTGTGAGAGGCTAGCTCCGTCAGAGCGGTACGCATAGTAGCAGAGAGCAACATGATTACCTTTTTTGCGGCGTTATCACGGATATAGGTAGAGCATCGCCCGTATCGAACACGACGATCCATTTACAAAACACATTCTAGTCCCTTATTCAAGAGCAGCCCTCGATAGCAATGCAGATAAATATGATAGGTCACTATCTCAGACATACATATGCTCTGTATAGCTTACCGTGACCCTGACAGTGAAGGAGAGGTGGGGAAGGTCAGTAAGGTCGTCAGTAGGAGGTAGTGGAGGAAAGAATCCGATCCCTCGATGCCAGCCTTGCAAGCAGAGTAGGAGCCTCGCACCCAATGTCATCGAGGATAGCGGCGTAGCGGAGAACGGCCGGATGTGCGGGGAGCTACAAGTGAACGGCGAGCTCGACGTGTGAGGCGACACGCGCCGCGGCGGGCGCGCTCGGGAAGCCGCGCCGAC